CAATTGTCACTTTCCTGTAGTACATCTTCACTGAAATTTTAATTTAACATGTTAACAATATCTTCATTTACCCATTTGCTTTAAAAAAATTTAAAAAGGTTCAAAAATAACGATTATGACAATTGTCACTTTCCTGTAGTACATCTTCACTGAAATTTTAATTTAACATGTTAACAATATCTTCTTTTATCCATTTGCTTTAAAAAAATTCAAAAAAGTTCAAAAATAACGATTATGACAATTGTCACTTCCCTGTAGTATATCTTCACTGAAATTTTAATTTAACATGTTAACAATATCTATTTTTATCCAAATGCTTTAAAAAAATTCAAAAAAGTTCAAAAATAACGATTATGACAATTGTCACTTTCCTGTAGTACATCTTCACTGAAATTTTAATTTAACATGTTAACAATATCTATTTTTACCTATTTGCTTTAAAAAATTTCAAAAAAGTTCAAAAATAGCGATTATGACAATTGTCACTTTCCTGTAGTACATCTTCACTGAAATTTTAATTTAAAACATATTAACAATATCTATTTTTACCCATTTGCTTTAAAAAAATTTAAAAAAGTTCAATAATAACGATTATGATAATTGTCACTTTCCTGTGGTTCATCTTCACTGAAATTTTAATTTAACATGTTAACAATATCTATGCTATAAAAAAATTTTCAAAAATAACGATTATAACAATTGTCACTTTTCTATGGTACATCTTCATTGAAATTTTATTTTTACATCTTAATATTAATAATTATAACCTATTTAATTTAGGATATAATAAATCAAATAAGTTAAAAATAACGATTATTACAATTTCCACTTTTTAATACATTACATCTTCATTGAAATTATAATATAAATTTTTTTTTACCCATATATGTCGAAAAAAGTTAAAAAAATAACGATTATGAAAATTGTCGGTACATCTTTATTAAATTTTTATTTTAATTTAACATGCAGTTCAAAAAATAATATCAAAAAAATAAAACATTATAAAATATGAAGATCTTTGAAGATCGTTTGATCTAAAATATTTTTAAATAAAAGATCTTCAAAGATCTAGATCTTTGAAGATCGCTGCTCAAAAATTTTTTAAAATAAAAGATCTTCAAAAGATCTCGATCTTTGAAGATCGTTGCTCAAAATTTTTTAAAAGTAAAAGATCTTCAAATTTTACGATCTTCAAAGATCTTGCTCAAATTTTTGAGCGAGATCTCGCTCAAAAATCTT